GGCAAGCTTTTAACCATTGTGCCACCAGAATCCCTTGATTAATATATAAAACCAAAAAACCCATTGCCCTCGAGTCGATTCGGACTCATAGTGACCCTATAGGACAGAGTAGAGCTGCCCTATAGGGTTTCCGAGGAGCGCCGGGTAGATTCAAACTGCCGACCTTTTGGTTAGCAGCTGTAGCTCTTATCCACTATGCCACCAGGGTTTGCAATTAACGTACAAGCCCTCATAATTTATTTTCCCATTTTACTTGTAGTGCAAAGCTCTGTCACTTACCACAGAGCAATGCAATGAATAACAAGTTCAAGTCGAGGTCATATGACTGAGCTTGGCTCCCCCTGCCCCCTTTAAAGACTATACTTCTCCCCAAAATCGAGCAAAAAAACAGTAGGAAGTGACCTGCCTGCTGACACAGTATAAATAGATTGTATGCAATGGAAAGTACCTCATCAGGGCAGTATTTATTTTTTATGTTAAACCCAAAGGATAAGTCAACTGATTCTTTTTATTTATTTACTTGCAAATGTGAATGAAATAGAAAAATTGCAGCAGGAGTCCCAAGAGAACTTTGGTCTTGGGATTTCTATCTACATGAGTTGAGACGCTTCACTCGGCATGTTGAAACCAAGACTCACACCCAGGTTGCTGTTGATGGAGCTTTACCTTAGACTCACGTCAGGCAGTATTGTAGATGCTGAAGCCCGTGGAGGAGCACTTTCGTCTTCTCCATGGTGGCAAGACTGAGGTTGGGGCAGTCAGAGTGTGGAATGTCTCGTGGGTACGGAACTGTGCCTGCTAGAAGCACGTGGTTGGTCCCGGCAGTGAGTGAGGAGAAGGAGGAGGTGCGTGAGCGGGACTCACTTACACTGCAGGTCTCTTCGTACTGTCTCTACCGTGCATTTCTGTCCGCGTTGTCTATTGTGTGGATGGTTGCAGTTTTCCTACAGGAAACAAAACCACAATTACGCAGCTGGCACAATAAGACTTTCACCCACTTGAAATCCTCAAAACACTTGCAAATAAACATTAGAAAGGAAAACAGTTTAATTGTTGAGAATATATATTTCTTGAAATAAAAGATTTTCATGTTTAAAAAATAATACTAAATCCATTAAATACCCACTCATACTAATTCCTTCAGTAGTCATGCATTTTTGCTATTATTTTGCTCAGTGTGGGAGCCCTGGTGGCGCAGTGGTTAAGAGCTCAGGCTGCTAACAAAAAGTTAGGCAGTTCCAATCCTTGGAAACCCTATGGGGCAGTTCCACTCTGTCCTATAGGATCGCTATGAGTCGGAATCAACTCGACAGCAATGAGTTTTGCTCTATGTAGTTTTTCTTTTATTATCTTAATAGAAAAATCACAGTCACTGACTTTATTGTCAAATCAAATCTAGAGCCCACTAAATAGTGCATTAGACTCATTGAATATGTTGTGAGTAGGAATATCTGTTGGGCTTTTGTGGTTCCTGTTGTTCTTGTACTCCCAGAGGAAACCTTAAATATTTAGTCAACCTGACTGTCCTCGCTCCATAATAATAGTACTTAAGATTGGCATACCAGTTGCTGTCAAGTCAACTCCAACTCATGGCAGCCCCATTTGTGTCAGAGTAGAACTGTGCCCCATTGTGTTTTTTTCAGTGGCTGATTCTTCAGAAGTAGATGACCAGGCCTTTCTTCAGAGGTACCTCTGGGTAGACTCGAGCCTCCAACCTTTGGGTTAGCAGCCAAGTGCATTAGAATTTGGGACTCTGAAATTTGTGTAGCATGACATTTACAACATGCTTTCTCTACATTGCTTCAATACATGCAATAAAATAATGCACAGCGCAGTATTCACCTCCCCATTTAGAGATGAGGAAACATTCAGAGGGGTTATGTGAATTAACCAAATGGAAGAAGTGACCGTGATTTTTCTTAGTCCTCCTGCCCCACACCAGCCATTGGGCTATACTGTAGAGCTCCTGGCAGTTGGCATGGCTCTGGTGGGGGTGGCCCAGGCCAGAGGCTGGATGTAATGGGAACACGGCCTTTTTGCACCAGGAGCCAAGGTCATACTGCTTGGGGAACACATTGTCCTGAGAGCCAACTTCCCCTGACAAGTGTAGGCATTGTGCTTACTGTGTGGGTTCTTTCCTACTAGAAATATCTTCAAATATTCTATTAACTTTGATTTCTTGAAACAAGGCACTTATTGACCAGCAGAGGATATGATGTTAGTTTGAGCACAGTGTTGATAGCAAGCACTTTAGTGTCCATCAGCATAGTGTGCTGACGAGTGAGATCTAATATGCATGTAAGAAGATCTCTCTCACTGTTGTCTTCAGTGAATTATCACCTGAACTTGCTTTTCGTCTTTGTAACTATGGCACCCCATGGAGCCCATTCTTGGCCAACAGGAAATTTAGAAATACTCATTTGCTCAACTGTATACTGAGGGCCTACTACTGTCTCCTCCAGCATCTGCATTTTATCCCACATCTAGGGATAGAACAACGAATAAGAGGTGGTCCTTGTCCTAGGAATTTATGTTGTTGTTGGGTGCCATTGAGTCAATTTTTGACTAACGGTGACCCCATGTGACAGAGTAGAACTGCCTTATAGTGTTTTCTAGGCTGTAATATTTACAGGAGCAGGTCACCAGGTCTTTCTCCTGTGGAGCTGTTGGGTTGGTTCAAACCACCAACCTTACATTTAGCAGCCAAGCACTTAACCATTGTGCCACTAGGGCTCCTTTCAGAGTTCATAAGCCATTCTTTATTCTCCAGCTAATATGAACATTGAGTCTTTTACATGAGCTGTCACCTTGGGGTTCTTTCTACTTGTTAGTTGCTGTCAAGTCAATTCTGACTCATGGTGACCCTATGTGTACAGAGTAGCTGCTCTATATGGTGTTTTGGCTGTAACCTTTGTAGAAGCAGATTGCCAGGCCTTTTTTCCATGGCACTCCCAAGTGGGTTTGAACCACCAGCCTTTAGATTAGCAGTCAAGCACAAACCTTTTGAGCCACGTAGTAGGTACTTCCAAATTGTTCTGCAGTGTGATACTGATTGACACTTCCACAGCAGTGAAAGAGTATAATTTTCCCCACATCCTCACCTACACTTGATACCCTCGTACTTTTAAATTTTGCTAATCTAATGGATGTGAGCTGGTTTCTCATCCTTTTAATTTGCATTTCCTTATTACTAATGAGATTGAGCATTGCTTCTTATGGTTGTTAGTTTCTCCTTTTGCCCATTTTTAAATACTTGTCTTTTTCATGATTTGAGGGAGCTTTTTTTATTATTATTCATTCTAGTACTAATCTTTTGTCTTTTAAATAGTTGCGGATATCTTCTCCTGGCCTGTCCCTTATGCTTTAACCTTGTTTCTAATGTCTTTTTATATTTTCCTTCAGCCAAAAGTCAGCTGGATAGTCCGTGTTTTCCCTGTTGAACTGTACCACTTCTAATACACTGTCCCGTACATGCCAAGGTGTCTTTCTTGGTTCTTTCTTCCCTTCCATTGAATGATTTGTCAATTCCTGTGCCAATGCCACATGGACTTCATTAGCATAATTTTGTAGTATAATTGATAACTGGTAGAGCAAATCCCGTCTTTGTTTTTGTTTGTTTATTTTATTTTCAAAATTATCTTAACTATTTGTGCCGTCACTTTTCCATATCAAATTGTAGAATTGGTTTGCCAAGTAAAGCAAAAGTGCTTCTTGGGATTTTTATTGAAATTGCATTGAACTAATAGATGAAGGTTCAGAGACTTGACATCTGCAGTGTTGAGTCTCCTCATCCATGAATATATTTCTCTCCACTGACTCAGGTTCTCCTTTGTATCCTTCAATAAAAGGTTATAATTCTCTCCACTAAGACTTGCACCTTTCTTTTTTCTCTGCTAAAATGTCCGATATTTAAGTTCCAAACCACAGAATGACTCTACATTAATAAAAGCTAGAGTTTTAATAAAAAACACATTTTAAAACAGTTTTGGGGGTTTATAAGGGTTGGGGCTGGGATTGCTAGCTTTTATATTCTCTATTGAATAACTCTCCTTTCTGTCTTTCTCGAAAGTAACATTCAAATGCTGGTATGCCCATTGCAGGCGAACTTCTTGAGGCATGTCATGAGAGATTTCTACCCCTTGGTTGACGTAAGATCCATCAGCATTTATTTCAGCATTGTTCACCCAACAGTAAATCCGTTGCCTGTATTATGCCTACGTATTTTCTACCTATAATAAAATTTTGAAAGGCTTTGCCAAATACTTTGCTTAAATTAAGATACACTTTTATCTGTGATCTATCCCTTTCCTGATGAATGGTTCTTGTTTCTTAAGGTCACCTTTAATATCTTACCAGCAGTCCATATCCAGATTTTCCATCTAACATGATGGGAATCATCTCCCCTTTCCTTCATTTGTGCATAGATTATCTTCTCACGTTTTTCCTGTTCTCCGTGATTTCTTGTAACTCTGAATTTTCCAATAAAGTGTTCAGTGACATCAGCATTTATATTAAAGTCTCAACCCATGTTTATATTAAAGAATCCTGCTCACAAAAATAAATATTCTTCAATATTGCCACTTTCTCTGTCTTATAACCAATATTCAGACCCACTTAAAAACCAGCATTAAGGGTTTAAATAGGAGACTCTCCTTCTAAGTTATAAGACCATTAAAAAACATAGTGTAAACTATATATTTTTTAAATGCTACAATGGATTAAAATGATTGATGGGACAAACATCCTCTAAACTGGCTGACCATCCAAAGTGTCTTACTTGCATGCTGACCTCTGAACTGAAATTTTCTGTCCTTTAAGGGTTGGTAGAAGGAGAAAAGAGTGTTTGCTCTGAATTCTGTAGTTGCTGAGAAGGTAAATATTTGGAAGGGAATTTTAACCAATTACAGAAAATCTCACTAAGCATTCACTTATTTCTTTAAGGAAATTAAAGGTAACAATATTGTTGTCATTTGTGTTTGTTGTCATTTGTGTTTCTCCAGCTACCAATTGTGGAAAAGATAAGAACCATTGCCCAGGCTGTCTATGGAGCCAAAGATATAGAACTGTCTCCTGAGGCACAATCCAAAATAGAACGTTACACTCAACAGGTAAAAGTCACACCTTTAGGGGGAAATCCGTCTTAGGCTATTAAAATACTCACCTTGACTTGAGGACTGCTATATGTTTCACCTTGGAGCCCTGGTGGCACAGTGGTTAAGAGCTCAGCTGCTAACCAAAAGGTTGGCAGTTCAAATCCACCAGCCGCTCCTTGGAAACCCTATGGGGCAGTTCTATTCTGTACTGTAGGGTTACTATAAGTTGGAATTGACTCGATGGCAACAGGTTGGGTTTGGTTTGGGTTTATATGTCTCACCAGTGGAACTTTGTAGAATCTACTTTACAGTCAACAAAGATTGAAGTAATATCCTTGGATAGAGTGCTGGCTGTATTTAGAACATTATAGTGAGGGTATATACTCTCTGATGTGTACACCATTGAGTTTTATGGTCATAAATGTGTCTAATATCAGTGATATCCATGTTTGTAAGTGCCATTAAAATATGTGATATGTCATCTGAGGGCTCTTCTATTTAGCAATAAACATTGGAACTGTCCTTTGGTATGTAGGTATGAGTCAGATTTAGCTGATGTATGGTGTTTCCTCTTCATTGCAGGCCTCTTACTACCTTAAAAACTTTAGTATGATTGCAGGTTAGGCGAATAGGAGAGCAGCGTTTACAGAGGGAGTGTTTGATGTTCTTTTCATACAGGTTGATTCTTGGCTTGTTACTGGGATTATTCACCAAGGCTGAAGGCTTCATCATCTTCTGCCTGTACAGAGTGACACAGACTATAAGGGTGGCTGTGAGGCATCAGCGGGAGTCATTGCTAGTCCAGTGATGGTCATGGACAGTGACTCCACTGCAGCCTGTTACCCGTCTCAAAATGACCATACGGCCCAATGCCCTATCCATTTTGACCTGACAAAAAAGAAGTCAAGGCACTTCCAAGAGGTTCATTATGAATAGCATTTTTTTTTTTAATTCCTCAATTCTTTAATGCTATTTAACAATCATAGTTTGACAATTTGTTAAATATTATCAGTGCCAACCAGAGTGTTCTCCCAGGTTTAATAAGATAGATAGCAACCCATTTTTTCTTAGAATTTCCTACATATGTTCTCAGCTTGTGTTTTAAAATAAGGATTCCCAAATGCTGTTCTGCATACTGGCATGGTTCTGTGGTAAGATTTTCACCCATATGCAATGAAATGAGCAAAATAAGATCAGTGTCGTGAATTTTTCATAAAGCTATTGAAGAGCTGTCATTTATTCTAGTATTAGGTCCTTCTCCCTTTTTTTCAGTCTTAAAATGTTCTTGTATGAAACATATGGTGATGATATATGGCATATTCATTGGTTTGTTATTATCCCTACTAGAAAAAATTTTAAGTTAGCAAACCTATCTCAGTTCATAGAAATTATTTCAATACTCAACTGATCTCTGCAATTGAAAGTTCTGGGCACCGTTTCTGTAGAGCAATTGTGACTGTCTCTTTTCAAAACTCTTAGCAGGACTAAGAGTAGGAGTTACAAGAAGAGAATGGCCCCACCCCCAGTTGATATCACTCTAAAAATCTCCCAAATAGTTTGAAGTTGAATCATAAGAAATTCTACATAGATTGCCTCTGAAGATTCTATTCCTTTTATCTCTGTCTGTCTACGGAGGGAATAACCCTTAAAAGTTATGTGTCAAGTATGTGGTTGCAATTAATTAGCACAGAGTCTCTAAGGGAGCACTGTGTGCCATTTAATCAGAAGCAGGCTTGGGGGACACTGTCCTTTTTGTGAGATGCCACATGTGACTTCCTGCCCTTTCACCTTCGGGACTCTGGGTCAGGAGTAGCCGTTGGTCCTTAAAAATAAGAGGCTTAAATAGTGACCTCATCTTAGTTCCTATAATGTAATCACAGATCAAATAGCCATGATTGGTAAAGGAGCACAAAGGGGCTGTTTGCTTCCTGACCCTCTAAGAATGAGTGAGCCACGTGACTCAAAGCCTCATTACAGAGCTTTTCTCCAGATTACCTTTCTGTGTCTTGGGTATTAATAGCCTTGGAAAGTGGTTTCTACAGCTGCTACTGCTGTTGCTTTGTCTGAAAATAGTCACAGTTTCCCCCAAACTCGTGTATAATGCTGCCTTCTCTTAAGGAGAACCTCCAAAATGAACAATAGATACCTTCAACCTGCTGGGTGGTGATACATGGAGGTGTTTATCCTCATCTTCTTGCTCAGTGAACGAGTAGTAACAAGCACCTACTGTGTGCCTGGGTCTGGCCTGACATACTGTTGTCATAGAGATATTATAAAATGCAAGTTAAACAAGTACAGGAGACTTGACATTGATGCTCAATGAACGTCTTTGCTTTCCTTCCCTACAGGGTTTTGGAAATTTGCCCATCTGCATGGCAAAGACCCACCTTTCTCTGTCTCACCAACCTGACAAGAAAGGGGTACCAAGGGGCTTCATCTTGCCCATCAGTGATGTCCGGGCCAGCATAGGCGCTGGGTTCATTTACCCTCTGGTCGGAACGGTGAGTGAGTAACATTCTCCTGAAACCTTCTTCATTCTGTGTTGTCATGACACCTCATACCTTTATGTTCCACAACTCCTTCCCAATTGTATACCGGGAAGTAATTAATAGTATTCGCTGTTTTTCTGAATATCGTCTACCACCAAAACCCACTCTGTCATTGTGGTCTGGGTGTTTTAGGTGTGTGTTGTTGTTGTTTAGATCCTGTGTTCAGGGTCCCTCGAGCCATAAACAAATTCCCCTCAAGGACAAGGAGGAGAGTAACTTGGGAAACTTCCGTCTGTCGTTTAAATGATAGAGTGGCTCAGTACCGTGCTTCTCAGCCTTTTTCACATCACAGCACTCAAAATGACAGTATTGCACAGCACAGGGAGATGAATGGAGGCGACTGCTTGGAGCCAGACAGGACCAGCCCCGCTCCCCGTTTGTCAGCACATCAGGTGGGAAGCTCTGGCTTAGTACATCAGCAAATCACAGGAGCTCTCGTTTTTTGGCATTGCTTTGTTGGGAATATATTGCTATAGAATGATTATATGATTTCAGATTGTCTATGGAGGGAGGGGAGATAAGCAGAGAAATGAAAGTTTATCGTTATGTATAATACCTCACACATGAAATGCTTCACACAATGGGAGCATCCCCCTTGGTAACCATACATGACCTCCATTTGACTTCTTGTCATGAGCGTAGTCCTGGACAAGATTTAGGACAAAAAATTCTCCATCATCATTATTATTACTTACTGCAAATTGATCCAAGCCCAAACAGAGAACAACATTATCACAGTGTTTTTATGGCTGTATTGTTAATGCACATAAAAGCAGTGGGTAGTTGAAAAGGACATATTGGCGTCTTCAGGACTCTTGCCTTGAGTTTATTCTTAGTTCATCTAATACGGGGCAGAATGGTTTCAATAAGCATTTTTTTTAAGTTCTTACTGCATGTGAGGCACAGGGACACTAAGAAGAATAAGCATACGGAACACAGGTCTGCATAGCCCTGAGCCATGGAGAGATGCTGAGTTGGCAATGGGAATGTTCTCCGAGCACAGCTAGTACTGCTGAGGGGAAGAGGTGTGGAAGAAGAAGAGAATCAAGCATGCTTCACAAAGCCACGTCCTCTGAACTGGGGAAACAGCAAGTTCCACCTGAGAGGCACAGAAGTGCATAATTTCCCCTTCCCGGGGTGGAGTTTGACGTGGGCAAGAGGGCTAAGGAGCGGGACTGGGCTTGCAGTAGTGAGCCAAATTGTTAAGGATCTCAAATGTCATCTTAAAGAGCTTGGGTTTTATCCTATAAACAGTAGGGAGTCACTATAAGGCGTGTTTTTTATAAGAAGGAGAAGAAGAATGTGGTCTGATTTGTATTTCAGGAAAATAACTCTCATAGAAATGTGGAGAATGCTTAGAGGGAAGAAAACCAGGCCCAGAGAGACAGTAAAGTAGGCTTTGGAGGTGAGGTCAGGCAGAAAGAAGGTGGACACTGGGGCTGCAGAAATAGATGTGGAGAGTCGAGGTGAATTTGAGACAATTTTACAGGTAGCCAAGGGTACATGGGGAGCGGGGAAGGGAGCGTTCCTAGCTTGGTGACTGGATGGTGATGAACCATAATGTCATCCATCATGTGAAGAACACAGGAGGAAGGCAGGTTGGTAGAACCAGAAATGAGTGTGGCTTGATCATAGAGAACTTGAAGGGTTAACAGGATCTATCAAAGAGCCTGTGAATCCACTAGAAACACAAACGCAAAGCTCTGCAGAAAGGAACAGGAAGACCTTGTGAATTCTGAGCATATAGGTAAATTCTGTCCCTAACCAAGGAGAGAAGCCTGGCTAGCCCCGAGAGGGATGAGAAGAGAGTAAAGGACCATACACTAAGAAACACCTACATTTATGCAGCCAACTGAGTAGCAGGAGCCATCCAAGGATTCTGAAGGACCAGCCAGAGGTGTTTGGGGGTTGGGGGGGCATCAAGGGAAATACCCCAGAGCCAAGCAGGGGAGAGTTTCTGGTCAGGGAATGGGGATCAAGTGTGTTGATAGCATAGGGAGAAGGATTCAAATAAAATGGGTACTGAATGACATTTTGGAAAAGACATAACTATAGGTAAAATACTCAGATCAGGAGTTAGGGTTTGGAGAGGGTCTTGACTACAGAGGGGTAGAGGGTAACTTCTTTGGATGATGGAAATACTCCATATTTTGATTGTGGTGGTATTACATGACTGTATATGTTTATCAGATCTCATAGAACTAATCACCTAAAAAGATGAATATTATTGTGTGTAAATTAATTATACCTCAACTAACAAAAAAGGGTACTGAGAAGAGCTTGCTTTATATGCCTTAGAATGTTCCCAGTGATGGCAGCTCTTCAGTACTAATGGTCTCCCTGAAGACAGTAGGCAGAGGCCTTTACTTCAGAGTAAGGGTTCAGGTGGGCGGTGCAGGCCCAGAGAGCCTAGACCGCCAGGAGAGACAAAGGGGCCATGAGGGCCGTCACGGAACGTGAAAAGAGTGGACATTCTGAGGAGAATTTTAGCCTTGTTCCTTTGTCGAGTCTTGTCCTACACAGATTCCGAATGCTGCAGTAGTTCACCCAGTAAATTCATTCTTCACTCGTTTGGTCACTGTGCCTAGGGCATTGTGCTGAGGGCTATGGGGAGCCCCAAAATAAACACATTTTCTTCGCTTCAGGCAGCATGTAGTTTAGGAGAGGTGGATAGTCAGGAGTGAATTGATGAGGAAAATGGTTTATTATAAAAATTGTGAATTTTATTGATACTTTAATTAGTTTCTGAGCATTAATAGTCATTAACTAAAAATCATAATATACTTTAAAACCTTTAGAGTCATGAAACAAATATATAATATGAATGTTCTTTCACCCCAACTGCACCACCCCATCCACCACCATATAAAGACCAAAACTGTTCTGGAACATCAGAATACTGTCACCTTTGACCTGGGGTTGTTACAGCTTGTCTGTGAACACTTGTTCGTCCGTCATTCCTGACGTCACCCTTTGACTTATGACTAGTTACAGAGTGAATGTACGGAATGGCCCTCGCAATGCCACTGCAGGTTCGCTGGATTTCCTGAAGGGAGCGAGCCCTGTGCTGTTATCTGTCTTCCCAGCTGAGTTCCTCCTGTGGCCACACATCAGGGGGGCAGCAGCAAACATTAGTGCACTGTGGTAAAATCTTCCTGAAACAATCGAGAGTGAGGAGCGAGGAAGGAAGCAGTGCCTGCCCAGAGCAGTTCCTGGAAGTCAGGAAACCAGCACTTGGAGGCTGTGGCCCTTGAGGTCGGCTTTCTATGACAGAGCAGGAAGCTGATTGCGGATCAGGGCAGATAGCACCAGCAAAGGCCAGGATCTCCTTATGAGGTTGTTGTTGCTGTTAGGTGCCGTCAAGTTGGTTCTGACTCATACTGACCTTGTGTACAACAGAGCGAAACACTGCCTGGTCCTGCGCCATCCTTGCTGTCGTTATGCTTGAACCCACTGTTGCAGCCACTGGGTCAATCCATCTCATTGAGGGTCTTCCTCTTTTTCACTGACCCTCTACTTTGCCGAGCATGATGTCCTTCTCCAGGGACTGGTCCCTGCTGATAACATGTTCAAAGTACCTGAGACGAAGTCTCGTCATCCTTGCTTCTAAGGAGCATTCTGGCTGTACTTCGTCTAAGACAAATTTATTTATTCTTCTGGCAGTCCATGGTATATTCAATATTCTTCACCAACACCATAATTCAAAGGCATCAGTTCCTCTTTGTTGTTCTTTATTCATTGTCCAGCTTTCACATGCGTATGAGGCAAATGAAAACACCATGGCTTGGGTCCCATACACTTTAGTCCTCAAAGTGACATCTTTGCCTTTTTAACACTTTAAAGAGATCTTTGGCAGCCTAATAAGGACTGGTGTTTATTTTTACTTGACTGCATTCAAAGCCCGGCCACAATCTGCTGAGATGCTTCTAGCATTCATCACCTATGTAGAGGACATAGTATTGTAATTTCCTGCTCAGATGACTGAGAGGGGGAATGGGAATACTGGGGAGACTGACTCCTGAAGAAGGGAAAATTCTAGCATAATGAATCACACTGGCTCTTCATCACTCAGCATGTCCTTATTTGAGTGCTTTTGAAATACATATTCATCTGTCCACTCGAAACGAGAACCCAAACTGAGACTGTAAGATCAGAAAGGTTTTCAATTCTTCTGCAGTGCTCCTTCATGCATTCAGCAAATAGTTACTGAATACCTACATTGTGCAAGGCGTCGTAAACGATACGGTGAGGAACAGATCCAGTCTTGCCCTCAGGGGCCTTATGATAGATGCTAATAAATAAAAACCACCATACAAGTACCAAATGCTGTGGGCTTTTACAAAGGGAGAACTCCTCTGTGGGTATGTTCTCAAGGGAGGCAGACAGCCCCTCTCCCCACTGACTACTCTAGTAAGTCTAAAAGGTAGGGAACCCCAATACAAACAAGTCCCTCCTCAAACAGTGAACATCTTCATCATTGCTGGGTATGGGAGATCAGATGATGACGTGCTAAAGAGGTCAATTTTTCCCCTACCAATTCAGCTATCTATATATTTACTTTTCGTATACATATAAATATATTCCTGGATGGTGCAAACTGTTTAGCGCTCGACTGCTAACTGAAAGTTTGGCAGTTTGAATCAACCCAGAGATGCCTCAAAAGAAAGGCCTGGCAATCTTACACCAAAAAGGAGAACGATGAAAAGGAAATCAGGAAAACAATACCATTTATAATAGCCCCTAAAAAGATAAAATACTTAGGAATAAATCTGACCAGGGATGT